CAGCGTCTGGAAGATTCTCGAGATCTGCAGCATGACGGGCCCCGTCTCCGGGTCGTTCATCCACTGGGTGCTGCCCAGCGGGTTCTCCAGCATGTCTTCGAATGCTGTGGAGACAGCAGAGCGAGCACTAGGCCCCAGCATAGCCAGCACAGGGCTGCCTTCCTCCTAGACAGCCCAATCTGGAGGACGGACTGGCCCAGGCCCGCAGCCGCCCAGCGCATCGGAGCGCAATCAGAACATGGTATGTGGGTCCGGCGGGGTGGCAGTGGGCCGGCACGTGCGCACTGGGCTCCAGTCTGGAAAGCCATCTGGTGGCAGCTATTGGGGCTCACTGAGACCAGAGAGAGACAGGGAGACAGAAAGAGAGAAATCACCCCCGGGTGGACGGCCGTGCTGTCATCCCTTCTCCGGTCTCCTCTCAGGACTCTGGGCACACATGCACAAGCTCCCGGGGTGAGTTTCAAGTTGTTGGGTCTGGGACTCAAACCACGGTGAGCCAGGCGGGGGTCCAGAGCCTCAACCACTATGCCACCTGCCGGCCCTGGCTATCACCCTTAAACCCTGTCTGAGTCAGCCCCAGTGACGGTGTCCCAAGCGGGAGGGCACTGTAGTGCGGAAGCTGAAGCCACACGAGAGGCCTGGCTTGGTCCCCGGCCCAACCTCAGTGGGTAGTACATGCCCCAGGCCACGAACTAGGAGGCTGCGGCAGGAAATTAATGTGGTGAGACCCCGTGGAGCTCAGACCCCGTGCCCCGTGCCTCTCCCCCTTAAAAACTACACCCATCTCCCCTTACACCCACTGCCACTCCCTCCAACGCAGATCTCTGTGCAGGCCACATAAGCCGAACGTCTGGGCCCTGCAAGCTGGTGAGGAAAACAGGCGAGCTACAAACCTAACGGGACAGAAACGATGTTCTCAGTTTGAAAAACCGCCCTCCCCTCAAAACAGAAGCGTCTCTGAGCACAGAGCTGTAAAACCTGGGCCACCAGGAAGGGGCAGCTAGCGTGGCCGTGCCCGGGCCTCCTGGCTCTGGAGAGGCCCTTTCTCTGTGAGGTCCTGGCTGCTCGGGATCCAGTAAGCAGGTCCTGGCGAGAGGAGCTCAGCGCGAACCTGACTGTCCTGGTCAAGCCCGACGGCACCCGCCCTCCGCGTGCTGCCATCCCCGGTGCCCACACCTCCTCCGAGGCCCAGTTCGCAATCTGACAGCCCAGGAGGACACGCTGGCACCTGGGAGCACGGGCCGAAGGCAAGGACTGGCACACGCTAGCCGAGAACCCACTCCCACTACCTCCCACAGAACAGCCACGTCGGGGACCAGCTATCGGTGTGGCCGTATCCCCAGGGGTGACTTCTCGCTTTCTGCCTCTCTGTCTCTGTCTTTCTGGCAAGTGCACGTGTCCTATAGCAAAAACCTCTCAAAAACAAAAGCAAAAAAAATCTGCCACGTCGATTCTGGGAAGAGGGGAAAGCTGAACAGAAACAGAAGGTGAGAAGGAGTTAAAGGGGAACTGCACGGACAGACAGTCGGGAGAAGGGCCTTCTGCCAGCCACACGCTCAGCACTCCCGAACGCAACACGCACGGCACCAGCAAGTGGCAGAGGTCGGCCTGTCACACACCTGAGGGTGACACTCCAGCGGCAGACAGAGTGTGGACACCCAGACAGGGCAACAGCAAGGGTTTCGTGTCACGGTGGCCACAGGACAGGGCAGCCGGCTCGCCTGTGACAGGGCAGCGCACTGCCCAACTGCAGGGCGATGGCGAAGCTGGCAGGCGCGCTGGTGGGAGCGCCCGACCCCCGTACCGGCTCACTGGCCTCTGCCTTCGCGCCGCTCACCCGTGGGTGGTATGAGCGACACGCAAAGGGGCCAGTGTACAGGTCTGCTGCAGTAGGCAGCCCAGGAAAGGTGCACCACAGACCTGCTGACGTGGCCAGGAGGGGACAGCACTGGCCGGATGACAGGCAGGTGGGTCAGCCCCGCACCAAGGCCAACAGAGGACTCTGAGTCCAGTGGGCTAAAGACATGCTCCCATGTGTGTGTGCGTCCAACCCCACAGGGCGTAGGAGGGGCCGGGCCTGCAATCAGTGAGAGTGGGCTCAGGGGCTGGCAGCTGGCATGGTGGTCAGCCGCTGGACTCCCACACAGCTGGCCACAATTCCAGTCCCACACCCAGTGGCTTGCTTTCCCACTTTCTCTCTGTCTCCCTCTGGTCAAATTAAAAAAAATAGTAAGAGTAAATAAAATCACATAATTCTTTTTACTTTTTAAGAATTATTTTTAACTTTATTTACTAATAAACTTATTATTATTTTTTTAAATTTTGACCAGAGAGAGAAAGTGAGAAAGCAAACCACCAGATCTGTGACTTGAACCACGGTTGGCCATGTGGAGTATCCAGCACCTTAACCACCACACCACCTGCTGGTCCCCCAAATTACATAATTCTTAAAAAAAGAAAAGTAAGCAAGCTCACAGAAGACATGGCCCCAAGTTTTGGAGCATGAGCGCACGGGGGCAATGCCGTCCCTGACCACGCGTACCTCCCGTAGGCTGCACACTTCAGTAAGGGAGGGAGAGCAATGAACAATGAACAGTAACAAGTTCTGGCCCCGGGAAAGGAGGGTCACACCACGGAAGGAAGCCGACGGTCCTGGGGGGACATCATGGGCACATCTCCGAGCTGGGACTAGCCCAGGACTAGCGACCAGGGCTAAGAACCTTCTTGGGACCAGCAGTTAGCGTAATGGCTATGTCACTGGACTCCCAAATAGTCGACCGTGGTTTGAGTCCCGGACCCAGTGGCTTAAACTCATGCCGGGCGCGTGTGCGTGCGTGCCCAAGATCCCGAGAGGAAAATGCAGAAGGGATTGCGGCGTGGCCATCCCCCCTGGGGGGTGATTTCTCGCTTTCTGTCTCTCTGTCTCTCTCTGGCTGGCTGGCAAGCGCACGCACCCTATAGCAAAAACCTCTCAAAAAAAAAAAAAATCCTTCTCAATGAATGAGGTGCAAAGAATCCAACAGGAAATAAGCCAGGGCCAGCGGGTGGCAGGGAGGTGAAGGCACTGGATTCTACATGGCCAGCTGCAAGGTTCAAGTCTCAAACCGGGTAGCTTGAAAAACACACCGGCTGCATGTGCGTGCGTGCCCAAACCCTGAGAAGACTAGAGGGAACAGGACTGCAGTGTGGCCATCCCCTCTGGGGAATGATTTAGCAATCTGTCTTTTTCCTTTTTCTGTCTCTCTCTAGTGAGGGTATGCACCCTGTGGCAGAAATCGAAAAAGAAAAATACCAGGCCACAGATGATGGAAGGCCTTCTGCAGCCACAGTCCCATAATGGGCTGGAGGTCAGAGCTCAGGGACACCGCCTGGAAAATGCCTCCCTGACGGTCAGCCACTGCCCTGGAGACAGCCCTGTGGGCCCAGCCCTCACTGTGTGGCTCAGAGAAGGCCTGCTGTGCCCTGCTGCAGCGGCAAGGTGTCGGAGCAGTGCCCCTGGTCATGTCCCTAGACGGCCGGTCCCTGAGGTGGCCTGCTCACCCAGGCAGCTGACAGCACTCACGTGGCAGAGCTCCACGGGAAGTGGAAAGCACGGCCTTTGAGGGAAGAGGAACCGTGACGCAGGGAGAAGCACCGGACGGGACACTCTGGGACACACAGCTGCAGTCTGACCGTCCTTCGTTACGACGTACTGGACGTCCTGCGTGCACCCACCTACAGCGCAGACGAGGATGAAGCCCTCACAGACAACACCCTCTCCTCTGCAATCTGCAAGCTGGGTGGTCTCCAGCCCCCTGGACTGTGCACGACAGAAGGACCCCGCCATTGCCCTGTCCCCCAGGTGGTCCAGAAAGCACTCACCTAGCAACGTCTTAGGGTTGGTAAGACCCAGCTGCACCACTGGGTTGTCCAGGATGGCTTGAAAGAGGGGGCTGTCGGGGTCGATGCCCTTGTCCAGCTCTTCAGGGGAGGGTTTCCGGTCCCCCAGCAGCCACTCGCACTGCAAGCCCAAGAGCAGCAGAGCATAGTCAGCACCCCTGGAGGCCCAGCAGCTCCGGGGCCTACACTGTCCTACAAGTTCCTGCAAGGGCGTTGAGGCCGCCAACTGGGAGGGACCACGCCATGCCAACGGCCATCCAATCCGCCTCATTGGCAGACACCGCTACAGCAGTTCAGACCGGCCACTGCCCCCCGCCTGGTCCCCTCCACTGCGCTGGCACGACCCAGCAGACGTTCCTGGGGTGGTGAGCCTGGAGACACCCGGACGCATAGACTCATCAGTTGTCACCTCGGACTCACGGAGGGTGCACGGGCCCACCAGGCCGCCCTGCAGTGTCCCCAAAACAGGAGCGGGCCCAAGGCTGCTCAGTGACATGGACACTCACTGTATGTGCATGCCAGACACAGCATTTAGAAGGCAAAGCCCAGAAGGTTCTGGGTATTTTAAAAATACTCCACCACCGACCACCCCCCACCCCGCTGACTTGGCCAGCTGAGACAGGCACAACACTGACAGTGCGGCGCAGCGGCCGTGGACTCACGGCGGCGTTCTGCTGGTTGTTGTTCACGCGGAGAGCGTCCATCACGTCCTTCTCGTCGAACCCCATCTCCATGAGAGAAACCACAGCCTAGGCCAAGAGCCACAGCCGTCAGGCCACGCGTACAGCGCACCCGCAGCAGTGCCGCTGACAGCTCAACACCTCGTAGCAGGTGCTTAGGAGCCCCACGGGCCTGGGGCGCCCCCCCTCCCCCGTCCCGACGACTTTGCCCAGATGCCTCGGGGCCTCCACACGGGAAAGCCCAGGATGCCCAGGACCTGATGGGCATCAGCAGAGACTGGGCCAGGGGTTGGTGCAGCCCAGGGGACACGCTGCCCTACGTGAGCGGGGCCCCAACCCCAGAACCAGCAGGCCACCCCATCCTGGTGGGTGGGTCTGTCCCAGCAGCCACAGGCTGGCCCACCCCGAGGGAAGGTCAGAGGCGAATCCAATTTGATAGGAGAGGAAACGTCACAGCACTTTGTGAAGAGCCACTCAGGTGCCATCTTAGAGGACACACAGACTCTAATAATTTTTGAACATCTAAGGTTTAGCGAGCCTAAGCCGTACGTCTGTCTGCTAACTCTCAGAGGCACGACCCGGTCTGTGACGTCAGGACAGATCACGCACACGGGACACGCCTGACTCCACGCTGGGCTGCTCTGCACGCTTCCTCCATTACTCGTGACCTGCCCACGTGCGGAGGCTGACAGGAGGGAGCACCCTCCGGGTTCTGGCCACGCCGCGATCCCCAGGCCGCCTGGACGAAGGGCCCGGCTCCTCGAGCACAGGGACGTCATGGCCCAGGCCGAGGGGCCACTACTGCACAGGGTGGCCCCGTCTCCAAGGGCTTCCTGGACCTCTGAGGGCCTAACCCTCGTGCCCACCCACCCACACTCTCCCTGTGGTAACAGGCGGCCTGAGCCCACAGGCCCCACGTGTCCCCAGAGGCACCTGATGCTGGCTCTGCAACACCAGGCTGCCCGGGCAGTCAGCCGTCTCGAGACCCTGACAGAAAAGCTGCTGGTCAGGTGGAGTCAGGCAGGACACAGCTGGAGCCCTCACGCACAGTCACCCCAGCCCGAGTTCCACCCACGATCACCTGGCCTGCGCCCTGTTCCAGCTTGCATATGCATGATGCTGGGGGCAGAGCCCACGGGCACGGTTCTGGGTCCTGGCACGGGGCTGCCAGGGCCACTGCGGGACACGGCAGAGGGTGGCCTTCCTGCTGGCACTCACAAACTGTCATCCCCTCGTTGCTGCCCCAGTTCCGAGAAGACCCTGGCAGCCCTGCCCCACCGAGAGCAGTGCTGGGCTTCCTCGCAGCTGTCGGGCCATGGCTGGAGTGGAGAGGGAAGGGGGCAGGAAGCCCGTGGCCTCAGGCCTGCCCCCTCCCTGCGGCCACTAAGCGAACGTCGTGGTCCTTGCTGACCACAGCCCGACCTCACAACAGGGACAGATCACAGGGCTGCCCCTCGAGTCAGATACCCTTTATGACAACTGCTACAAGACGCTCTGCAGAAAACCCAAAGTTCGAGGAGTGAGGGAGAGCCTGGAGGGGACGTGTCTCGGGAAAGCCTGACGAGGTAAGGGCAAAAACCTGGATTTTTCCGAGGAAAGAGCAGAGAAGGGGCTGGGGCGTGGCCACCCCTGGGGTGGTTTTTCCCCTGCCCTCTCGCCATCTCCCTGTCTCTCTCTGGCAAGTGCACTTGCCCTATGGCAAAGGCCTAAAAAGAAAAAGAACCTGGATTTTCCCAAAGTAAAGATGGCCAGGAAAGACGGGACGCAGAGCTGGCGTGGCGGTGCAGGCCTGCTGTCCCAGCTGGGGGAGGCTGGAGGGGAGCCGGGCATCACGGGAGACCCTGTTCCCAAGGAAGGACGGGACACAGAGCTGGCGTGGCAGTGCAGGCCTGCTGTCCCAGCTGGGGGAGGCTGGAGGGGAGCCGGGCATCACGGGAGACCCTGTCCACAAAGAAAGGGCAAGAGGCTGCCAGCAGCAACCCTCCCAAGGCCTGTGGTGTAGACCGAAGCCCAGGGCACCGGCAGCCCGCCACGGTGTGCTGAGGTGCCCCCAGCTTCACCGCGGGCTTGGCTCCCTGCCACCATGACCACGGGACACACCTTGTGCTCAGCCTGGCAGTGTTGTGTTCAGATAAACGGAACACTTCTGAACACACGGGCGGACCGCCCCCAAGGCAGTGATACAACAGAGCCAGGAGGGCGAGGCAGGAGCCTCCACAGGGTGGAGAGGATGGGGACGATCCACGGTTGGGGCGATGTCCTGCTGGGAGCAGGGGTGAAGCCAGGACTTGCTCAGACAGGAAGAGGGCAGAGGGCGGCTGTCCCTGTGGGGCAGCGGCAAGGTGGGCACTGGCCAGGAGCCCCAGACGCCAGGCGAGGCTGGCTCAGAAGGCAGTCCTGGCAGCAGCACAGCAGACTCACAGCCGCGAGACTTGGAGAGTGCCAAGGACGGGGCCCAGGGCTGCGGGACCTGCAGGGAGCACGAAGCTGGCCGGCATGCTGGGCACCGAGGCAGCAGGACACGCTATATAAGGTGACCACGGAAGGGCTGCGAGACAGGTGCTGCACTGGCTGGCCCCGTCTGCAGCCAGAGGCCCAGGCCCGGTCCCCGGCAGCCCACCCCGTCCGCAGAACAAACGCCTGGTGTCTTCTGGGAAGCCATGGCCGCCGAATGCTGACAGGAGACGCAGGCCAAGCTTGGGGAGAAGCACGCGAGTGACTAACAGCCACAGCCGTCCAGGCTGTCCGTGGCTCCATCTGCTTCCCTGCAGCCAAGGCCACCAGCCACGCCGCACTCCTCCCTAGCAGCTCAGAGGAAGCGCCTTGCTGGCCACAGACCAGGACCACGTACCCGAGCATCGGCCCGGAACTCCCGTTTCCTCCGAATCTTCTTGAAGATTTCCGTCAGCTCGTCTCGGGGCTCGTCTCCGGAGCTGGTCCCGGCAGCGGCAGCCTCGGAGGTGGCCCCCGGCGCAGCGGGGCCTGGGAGTGGTAC